GGAGGCTTTTTGTGGGACTGCTTTATTAGCTCGAAGAGCTCGTCCATAGTATAAGCGTTTACGTCTTTCAATTTCTTCGAGAAAACGCTGAAAGTAGCGTCAACGTCTATATGGGTGTGTCCCACCAGCATGAAACCTATTTCTACCTCTTCAAAAACTTTGAACTTAACCAACAGTGCAGCCAGGGCACATATGTACTTGTTCTTGTTTTCCCGCCAACAATTATCTGCTTGAATGCACAAAAAACGTGGCAGTGGTGTCCCGCTCCCTTGAATTTCGACAAGGGTTCTCATAACACAAGTAGCGACCGTGTTGGAATCGTGTTTGAAATACGGAAACCATGTGTACACATATATACTAGGGTCTCTGTCGTGTGCAATGACGCCTGTCAGATTAGTCTTCATCATCATCTCGTGCCTAAGTGCTTTCGAGTAGTTCGCTTGACCAATATGGGGGATAGTKGTTTTCTTCTGATCCATGYCGTCAATRATGAGACACAAACGCTCGTTCGGACGAACCATGGAATCAGTTTTCGCTCGACTGTAGTCCAMTCTGTGTTCAACTTGCCTCCTTTGGTGTGCTTTCATATCCTCTCGAGCACGTTCTCGATCTCGAGGAAGAGCAGCATATTGTATACGTTCCTTTAGTTCATGACAGACGGCGCACTTCATGAACGTGTTAGATTGCGCGAGGAAAACGTGGAAAAAGTGTTTCTGCCACAACTTATAAAAGTTGGACTCAGACACGACATCGAGGCCAGCGGCCAGAAAGTCGGATTTGATGGACTCATAAATTGATCTCTTCGTGAAAGCAGCCGGGAGTCGAAGCTTCGGTCTGGAAACCCCACCTTGGTTAGCCACCTCATTCGGCATGCTATCCGCATGACACTCGATGAACGTTCCCATGCTGGCAAGCATGGCGACCGTTTTATTGGTTGGCCTATATTTTCCCATCAGGCCATGCTCGGAACGCACGTAGCCATTGTCGAAACGTTTTTTGTAGTTGTAAAATGTATTACGTGAGACACCGAGTACATTGCAGTACGCCCTGATGCACATTGAACGTTCCAACTCCACAGGTCGGGCACGTTTCTGTCCACTCTCATTTACTGTGAAATCCTTAATACTTTTCATCCACCACTCAGCTCGCTCTCCCGGACTCTTACTGTACAGTCCTTGTTTAACCTTTCGCACTTCCTCAGGCGACACGTCGTAACAACATCGAGCCTTGCAACGTGCCATGCCGCGCACCATGAGCAGTCTTTTTCCGGACAGCATGTTTCTCGCTCTTTTATACTGTTCTTTCCTCCTAGCGTTCCTATTAGCCATGCTATATTCATTTTTCGCCTGGCAGAGGTGCGCGCAAAATCTGCAGTATCGCCCTTCTCTTTGCATCACCCCTGCTAGACGATTCCGACCCAGACTCGCTCTGACTTGGAATCGCATCATCACTTGGCATATGCGTTGGACTCGCCCGTGCTGTGGAAAGCTCCTCCGAAGAATAGTCGGTGGCAACCAAGTTCGTAGTACTGGAGCTAGCGCGAAGCGAAGGTCCACTGGAAGAGGACCGTTGTCCACACGAGTAATCAGTGGCCGCCAACCGCTCACTCTCGTCATCAGACGATCCGTAAGAAACACCCATTGGCACGCAACTGCTGTGCGCCGAAGCTGTGGGGTGCACCTCGCCAGGAATGTGGAACTCTATCCGGGAGGTAGACGGTTCTTCGGCCGCGGACGTTGTTGCCAATTCTGTAGGTAGTTGGATGCAACCTCCAAAGCTCTCACGAAAAGCGAGATTTCATTTTCTGGGGAAATCCGCAGCTGACTGTTGGAACAGCGAACTGTCCGAAGAGGTCGTCGGGGCCAATTCCAGGTGTTGTAGCTGGCAATGCAAGTCGAGGGCTTGTTCAGTTTCCATAGCCCGGTTCATGCGGTCATTCGCCGAGCCTTCTTCGGCGCCGTCATGCAACCGTCGGTGCAGCGGATGCGATTCCCGTCAGCGCAATGGATTATTCTCTCTTGTGCGGGTTGAACGGGTCATTCGAATTCGTGACCACACCCTGCAAAACAGCGGAGCAAACTGTAAGCACGGTTAGATTTACGCGTTGATGGCACAAAGTTCGCCGGGATCCAAATTTGGCGGGTGCAGGAATAGCAAGGAACTTGTTTTCGCGTGGCTTGTGTCAGTGGAAGGTAGCGCCACTGGGTGCACACAAGGAACGCTATGTTTGGGCGAACAGAAGGAAGGCTCTGTTGTCGGTGAACGATAGCACGCACAGAACAAAGGGTAGTGGTGGATGCACCACCACATAATTCGGCGCAGCGCGACCCCAAACAGACCCCTATAAACACCGATTCTCACCATCGTCTAAGCGAGCTCGTGCAGTGCTCCATTTGTTGGCACTAGTGCAATAGCGACCCCCGATTCGCGCGCCGGGAACGTCAACGTGCGACAGCGCGAACGGGACAGCACGCAGAAACACAAGCATGTCTGCGTCAAGACTTCGCACACCGCGACGGTCAAAACCCTTGTGGGGCAGAAAAGATCGTGGGTGCGAAAAATTGCTCGCCTTCTGAAATGCCCTTGAAGGGGTTTATGGGGGTTGCCGATGGTGACAACGGTCGTGTCCCTTACTTTCAGCAACCCCCATGAACCCCTTCAAGGGCATTTAAGAGGGCGAGCAATTTTTCACACCCGCAGTCCTCTCGCAATCAACTCAGATTTGATGCTCCAGGCGCCATGCGAAGGACAGATAGATTTGCGCCGATCCTCGAAGTCCGCCAGGATCCGAACTTGGCGGATTTGCCCGCAGCGAGTAACAGGTTTTCGCGCGGCTGCAGGTATTGGAACCAGTAGATGGCGTTTGCACAGAAGCAGGCGATGCTCGGCCACACCACATTTCGGGGCGGCGATGAACGAAGATCCACGGCACATCGGAAATGCACCCGGCCAGTGACACCGTCGTCAACCCCAATAAACCCCTTTCAGGGCAAATCACAAGGCGAGCACTTTTTCGCACTACCTGGCCGCCGGCATTGAAGACGGACAGGGCAGTCCAAGCTGTTGAAAATAACGGTCAGATTCACGGGGAGCCTCTAAGTTCGTCGGGATCCGAATTTGGCTGGTGCAAGAGTAGCAAGGAACCTGTTTTCGCACGGCTTGTGTCAGTGGAAGGTAGCTCCAGTGGGTGCACACAAGGAACGCTATGTTTGGGCAAACAGAAGGAAGGCTCTATTGTCGGTGAACGAAAGCACGCGCAGAACAAAGGGTAGTGGTGGATGCACCACCACACAATTCGGTGCAGCGCGACCCCAAACAGACCCCTATAAACACCGATTTTCACCATCGTCTAAGCGAGCTCGTGCGGTGTTCCATTCGCTGGCACTAGTGCAATAGCTATCGAACACGGACATCTCCACTGCGCAGATAAGAAAAATGCAAAAAGGATGAAAGAACCCCCCTTAAACCCTTCCAAACATTGATTCGGCCAGTCGAGAAGGCGATCCCCGATTCGCGCGCCGGGAACGTCGACGTGCGACAGCGTGAACCGGACAGCACGCAGAAACACAAGCATGTCTGCGTCAAGACTCTGCACACCGCGACGGTGAAAACCCTTGGGGGGGCAGAAAAGATCGTGGGTGCGAAAAATTGCTCGCCTTCTGAAATGCCCTTGAAGGGGTTTATGGGGGTTGCCTTCGGTGACAACGGTCGTGTCCCTTATTTCTGGCAACCCCCATGAACCCCTTCAAGGGCATTTCAGAGGGCGAGCAATTTCTCGCACCCGCAGTCCTCTCGCAATCAACTCACAGTCGAAGCTCCAGACGCTATGCGGAGGACAGATAGATTTGCGTCGATCCTCAAAGTCCGCTAGGATCCGAACTTGGCGGATTTGCCTGCAGCGAGTAACAGGTTTTCGCTCAGCTTCAGGTATTGGAACGGGTGGATGGTGTTTGCACAGAAGCAGGCGATGCTCGGCCGCACCGCATTTCGGGGCGTCGATGAACGAAGATCCACGGCATACCGGAAATGCACCCGGCCAGTGACACCGTCGTCAACCCCAATAAACCCCTTTCAGGGCAACTCACAAGACGAGAACTTTTCTGCACTACCAGGCCGCCGGTTTTGAAGACGAACTAGGAAGTCCAAGCTGTTGAAAATAACGGTCAGATTTACGGGAAGCCTCTAAGTTCACTGGGATCCGAATTTGGCGGGTGTAGGAGTAGCAAGGAACCTGTTTTCGCGCGGCTTGTGTCAGTGGAAGGTAACGCCAGTGGGTGCACACAAGGAACGCTATGTTTGGGCGAACAGAAGGAAGGCTCTGTTGTCGGTGAACGATAGCACGCGCAAAACAAAGGGTAGTGGTGGATGCACTACCACACAATTCGGCGCAGCGCGACCCCAAACTAACCCCCATAAACTCGATTCTCACCATCGTCTAAGCGAGCTCGTGCAGTTTTCCATTCACAGGTACTAGCGCAAGAGCTTATCGAACTCGGACATCCCCACTGCGTAGACAAGAAAAATGTAGAAAAGGATGAAAGATCCCCCCTTCAACGCTTCCAAACATTGATTCGGCCAGTCGAGAAGGCGACCCCCGATTTTGCGACAAGACTCCGCACACCTCGACGGTCAAAAACCTTGGGGGGCAACAGAGATCTTGAGCGCGAAAAATTGCTCGCCTTCATAAATCCCCTTGAAGGGGTTAATGTGGGTTGCCGGCGGTGACAACGGCCGTGTCCCTTATTTTCGGCAACCCCCATGAACCCCTTGAAGGGCATTTCAGAGGGCGAGCAATTTCTSGCACCCACAGTCCTGTCGCAATCAACTCACACTCGAAGCTCCAGGCGCCACACAAAGGACGGATAGATTCGCGTCGATCCTCGAAGTCCGCCAGGATCCAAACTTGGTGGATTTGCCTGCATTTGTAACGGGTGGATGGCGTTTGCACAGAAGCAGGCGTTGCTCGGGCGCACCGCATTTTGGGGCGCCGATGAACGAAGATCCACGACACACCGGAAATGGACCCGGCCAGTGATACCGTCGTCAACCCTAATAAACCCCTTTGAGGGCAACTTACAAGGCGAGCAATTTTGCGCAATACCATGCCACCGGCATTGAAGACGGACGGAGAAGTCCAAGCCATTGAAAACAACGGTCAGATTCATGCGGCGCCTCGAAGTCCTCCGGGATCCGATTTTGGCCGGTGCAGGAGTAACAAGGAACCTGTTTTTGCGCGGCCGGTGTCAGTGGAACAGAGCGCCAGCGGGTGCACAGAAGGAACGCTATGCTTGGCCGCACAAAAGGAAGGCTCTGCCGCTCTCGAGCTGTCGTTGAACGTCAGCACGCGCAAAGCAAAGGGCAGCGGTGGATGCACCACCACAAAATCGAGCGCAGCGCGACCCCAAACTGACCCCTAGTGCAAGAGTTCATCGAGATCGGACATTCCAACCGCGCAGACAAGAAAAATGTAGAAACTGATGAAAGACCCCCCCTGCAACCCTTCCAAACCCCGTTTCGGCCAGTCGACAAGGCGACCCCCGATTCGCGCGCCGGTAACGTCGACGTGCGAAAGCGCGAACCGGAAACCACGCAGAAACACGAGCATGTGTGCGACAAGAATTCGCGCACCGGGACGGTCAAAACCCTCTGGGGGCAACAAATATCAACGACACACAGACAAGGGACACGGCCGCTATCACCGTCGGCAACCCCCACAAACCCCTCGAAGGGCATCTCAGAAGGTGAGCAATTTTTCGCACCCACAGTCCTCGCGCAATCAACTCACACTTGAAGCTCCAGGCCTCATGCGAGCACTTTTGCGTGCCCGGAGACCTCTGGTAATCAGAACGCACTCGACAATCGTGGCCGTCGAAAACAACGGTTAAATTTACGCGAGACCCCAAAGTCCGCCGGGATCCGAACTTGGCGATTGCTGAACTGGCCAGGAACCGGTTTGCGCGGGGGACGACGGATATTTGGATGACCGGTGTGGAATTGCACAGAAGGAATGCTAGGCTTGGCTGCATGTTCAGGGAGGCCCTGCTGCTGCTCACAAGTGTTTGTTCCAACAGAGCACGCAGAACAGAAATGGTCGTCGCAGGTGCACGACGTCGAAAATTGGCGCAGCGCGGCCCCCAATAGACCCCCATGGACCCCGATTCTCCTCATCGACAAAGCGAGCACCTGTGGCGATCCAGTCGCAAATGTTGCCATCCTTGATGACAATGACTGCAAGCACAAAAAAAAATGACCACGGCTGGTGGACCCCCGATTAGTACCGCAGACAAGGCGAGCTCGCAGTCCGGCAATGGCAGGTTCCACAGCCAGGTTCATGGGACCACGTACGGGTGCCAACCATGAAGTCCGCCCGGATCCGAACTTCAGATCGGTTGCCGCGTTCGACCGGGAGCATTAAACACTTTGTTTTTGTTGGGGTCCCGTTGGGAGGACTTTTTTTTTTTTACGGCAACGCCAATGAAAGAACAGTCATGCAACCAGGACTCTGAAAAGATTCATGCAAACCGTGAGCGTCTTATTTCAGCGACGCGGTCGAAACAACAATAATCATCCGAGCAGCCCGCGACTTCGCATGCTTCAGATTGCAAGTCCGCCGGGATCCGAACTTCGTTGCACGCTGAAAACCGGCATGGCGTTATGAACTATCGACCCCACACCCGAAAGATGGGAATTGTGTCCCGCAAAACGTAGTCATCAGGGCAACCCGGGATGGCATTGTGACTGCGAACGCGAAACCAACAACCGCCAAAAAAATGGGAACTTCGGATCCCGGCGAACTACAACAATCATGCGCTATTTTCGCACCTGCTCGTGCTCTCCCTGCGGCCGAGCGACTGCAACAGATTGCTGCTTTCGCGAGAGCACTGCGCATGATTGTTGTAGTTCGCCGGGATCCGAACTTCCTATCTCGCCAGGCAACCATACGCCACGCGCCATTTTTCGTTTGGCTGTTGTTGGTTTCGAGCTTGCGGTGACAATGGCGACCCCCCTTGCCCCGATGACTGAGACGTTTCCCGGAGGCGGACGGATTGTTCGTTACTGAACGAGGACATGTTTTCGTGTCGAGGTTGTCGTCACGAAACATGCGGCGCTCACGCCGAAGAAACGCCATCGTCATTGCAGCGAGCGGCGCAGGCGTTCTCCATCGCGCGCACGCAACGTGTGCATTCTTCGTTCTGGAGCCCGCGGATGTTGCGCGCACAGTCCTGGCATTTGTCGTGCGGAATGCTATATCGCATCCCTCACGACCAGCGCCAGGAGCGCGCGCTCAACATCCATGGCCTCTATGGTGGATCATGTGCATGTTGTGTGCGGGGGATGGAGACGACAACAACTCTCCCGGGATTGACGCCATAGTCTCTTCGGGGAGGGAGGCTCAAGTGTTGCGGCGAGAACACGAACACGGAACGACGACCCCCTCCTATTTATGAATACCTTACCTCTCACTGCACGCCACGTGGACGGCGGACATCCTTCCCACCGTGGCCACCACGCGACGCTTAGTACCAACAACGGTCGCGCGTAGCCCATGCGTCTCCTTTGTGATAACCAACCTCTAATCTCTTTGTTGAGGACAGCAAACGAGCGAGGGAAGTGTTTCGAAGGGGTTTCGTGTTCCGCTGGGAATAGGGGATTTCGTGTTTGCCTCGACCGCGCGGGAGTGGTTTGCAATGTCCAGCTTGTGATCAACGACAGTTTTTCTTCAATGCCAAGCCAAACAAGAGTCGTGGGGGCGGTCGCGTGGAACAAATGAGAGAGAAGCAGAACGGGACACGCAAACTGTGTGCCCCGATGTCCACGTCATCCGTTCCCGCAGTCCCAGCCACTTGCGACACGTGGCACGACATGATGATAATGATGACGACGGTGATGAACAGGATGATAGTGACGATTACGGTGGTGATGTTGATCTGGGCGACGATGTCGCTGACGAGGATGACGATGTTGATGACGATGATGATGTCGATGATGATGTTCGTGATGATGATGATTGTGATGATGACGATGATCATGATGACGATGATGACGACGATGATGACGATGTTGGTGGTGATTTTGATGATGGCGACGATGTCGCTGATGATGATGATGATGTTGTTGATGGCGTTAATGATGTTGATGATGATGAAGATGTTGATGACGTTGACGAGGTTGATGATGATGTTGTTGATGATGATGATGATGTTGATGAAGATGATGATGATCACGATCACGATGACAATGATGGTGATGATGATGATGATGATGAAGATGATGACGTTGATGGTGGTGGCGACGATGATGGTGATGATGGGGGCGATGATGATGATGATGATGGCAAGCAAGAATCACGGGGTCGCTCGCGAGGAAAGAACGAGCGGGAATCAGAAGGGGACACAGAAACCATGTGGCCCAATGTCACTGACACCCTTTCCCTCCGTCCCCGCAACTTGAAACAGGTGGCGCGACGCGGCCGCTCCCATGGGCTGGCAAACATGCCTGACACGAGGGCAGGCAGAACAACACTTTACGTTGAAGAGGGCACAACGCACATGATGGCGCTGCTCTTTGACATCTCACAGTTCTTCGAGGAGGCGCAGTTCTTCGACGACGGCGAAGTGCACACGATGGCGCAACTCTTCGACAAGGGCTCAACGCAAACGGCGGTGGCCACTTGCTGACGCAGGATGCAGAGACGAGATGTCGAAGCCGAGACAACCGAACCACAGACGACAGTTGTCGACGAGAGGAAACCCCTGCGCCCACGCCCGCCGCCGCCTGGCGCAACAGCGGAGCAGAAAAGGCGATGGAGGATGTCGCTGACGGGACATCGAGCGCGAATGCGTTCGTCAGGCTCGAGATGCGAAAGGGCTGCCCCAGACCCGAGGCAGCTGAGCGTCAGACTGTCGTCGCACCCCATGGAAAGACCCGCCT